TTGGCTGGGCCATGATTCTCAGTGGTTTGGCAGTTATGTAATGATGTAGTTATCCTCCATTTTGTGATATAATGTAATTACCTGCATGATGTGATCTGATGTTATCAGCCAATCAGTTATAAGGGGAGTTTCCTCAGGGGTGTGGCCTGCATCCAATATATATGGACTTTCTGGCAAAGCTCACTGGCTTTTGCTTGCCCTGGATTCTGAGTCTGGCTTGTCATCATCTGACCTCTGGTTCTTGGGACTTGAGCTAGTGGCCTGCCGTCTTACCTGCTCATCTTGGATTCGTCAGCCTCCACAGCCCGTGAGCCAACAGCCTGCCGTCTGACCTGCTGATCTTGGGTTCGTCAGCCCCTGCAACTACATGAGTCTGGAGGAGCCTCCTGTCTGACACCTGACCCACGGACTTGGAATGTTCCAGCCCCTACAACCATGTGAGCCATTTCTTTGAGATAAATCTCTCTCTGTATATATGTATATGCTTCACTGTTTTGCTTCTCTAGAGAACCCAGCCTAAGACAGGTATATACCAAGGAGTGGAATTCCTGGGTCGTATGGTAATTCTGTGTTTAAATTTTTGAAAAATATTTTTTAGCTCTTGACACCACACTTCAAGATAGAGTTTATCCAAGTTTTACAGGAGAGAAGATGGGAACCCAGAAAGGTAGGACTGATTTGCTCACAGCTACCCAGCTAAAGAGCAGCACAGCCAGAATTAGAACACAAGTCCAGCTGTTTGTAGCATCCTGCATGCCATGGATTGAATTATGTCCCCCCAAAAATGTGTGTATCAGTTTGGCTGGGCCATGATTCCTGGTATTGTGTGGTTGTCCTCCATTTTGTGGTTGTAATCTTATGTTAAAGAGAATTAGGGTGGGATTGAAACACCCTTACTAAGGTCACATCCCTGATCCAATGTAAAGGGAGTTTCCCTGGGGTGTGGCCAGCACCACCTTTTATCTTACAAGAAATAAAAGGAAAGAGAAGCAAGCAGAGAATGGGGGACCTCATGCCACCAGGAAGGCAGCACCGAGAGCAGAATGTGTCCTTTGGACCCAGGGTTCCTGTGCGAAGAAGCTGTCCAGGGGAAGATTGATGACAAGGACCTTCCTCCAGAGCTGACACAGAGAGAAAGCCTTCCCTGACGCCCTGAATTTGGACTTTAGCCTACTTTACTGTGAGGAAATAAACTTCTTTTTGTTAAGGCCATCCACTTGTGGTATTTCTTTTAAAGCAGCACTAGATGACGAAGACGCTGCACAAGTTACGAAGCACCTCACGTGTCCATTCTTCCATCTTGTCCTCCCAATATTTTTTTTCAGATGAAAAGACAGTTCCTGGTGTTAAGTGACTTGCTGAAGGTACAGCGAGTTTTAGTTGAGCTGGTAGTTTTCATTCCATTCTGGAAACCAGACCTTATTAGGTGTGTTCCTCTTCCTGTGTCCTGTGCAACCTCTGGTGATGTATGAAGAGGATGTAAGGGGTAAGGGGACTAGGAATTGGGGATAATTTTCTCTTATGCTTTAGCCAATCATTCTTCAAGTAATTTCTGAGTGCCAGACACTAGTCTAAGTGCTTGGGACACACAGTGACCTAAGTAGACAAAGACAGCAGCCCTTAAGGGAGCTTACATTCCAGTACGGGGAGGGAGAGACAGACAATAGATATAACAACATGAATACGATTTAGAGTATGCGAGAAGGTGAGAGAAGCTGTGGGGGAGAAACCAGCAGGGTAAGGGGAAGAGGAAGGGTGGAGGGGTTACAGTTTCAGATAGGGCAGTGAGCAGACCTCGTGAGGAGGTGACATTTGAGCAAATTTTAAAGGAGGTGCAGAAGTTAGTCACTTGGGTACCTGAAGTAAGAGTGTTTCAGGTAACAGAACCAGGTGGGATGAAGACCCTAAGGCAGGCGTGTGCCTGGTATGTTTTCGGAGCACAGGGAAGCCATTGTGGCTGCAGTGGAGTGAGGTAAGTGAGTGAAGGGGGCAGCTAGGGGAGGTGAGATCAGGGAGATGATCATGTGAGGCAGAGGCTTTCAAACTTTTCCGGGTGCCCTTAGTGTCTCAGTAATTTTTCACGATATCCCTACATCAAAAAACACCTAACAGTTTGGCTTCATAAGTAGGTAGCTGTTGTTAGGTGCCGTCCAGTTGCTTCTGACTCATAGCGACCCTATAGGATGGAGTAGAACTGCTCCGAAGTGTTTCCAAGGAGCGGCTGGTGGATTTGAACTGCTGACCTTTTGGTTAGCAGCTGAACTCTTAACCACTGCGCCACCAGGGCTCCAAGTACGTAGTTAGGTCCTAAAAATTTAATAGTAGTCTGGCATACTGCTGTTTTAACCTGTTGTTCTAACCCGCTGTTTCAGCAAGCTAGGTTGTGTCATCTGCATATTACAGGTTGTTAATGAGTATTCCTCCAATCCTGAAGCCATGTTCTTCATATAGCCTGACTTCTTGGCTTGTTTGCTCAGCATACAGATTGAATAAGTATGTTGAAAGGATACAACCCTGAAGCACACCTTTCCTGACTTTAAACCACGCAGAATACCCTTGTTCTGTTCTAACAACTGCCTCTTGGTCTATGTACAGGTCTGGCATGAGCACAATTAAGTGTCCTGGAATTCCGTGAAGATTACAGCGTTGGAAACCCTACGGGGCAGTTTTACTCTGTCCTACAGGGTCACTATGAGTCGGAATCGACTTGAAGGCAATGGGGATTTTTTTGATTAGTGGGTGTTAAGGAGTTCCTCGGTGCAAATCGTTAACGTGCTTGGCTGCTAACTGAAAAATTGGGGGTTCAAGTTCACCCGGAGGTGCCTTGGAAGAAAGGCCTGGTGGTGTACTTCCAAAACATCAGCCACTGAAAACCCTGTGGAGCCCAGTTCTACTCTGACACACATGGAATCTCCGTGAGTTGGGGTTGACGTGACAGCAACTTGTTTGGTTTATCTTGTCTTCGGTTTACCTGTGTGATCTTCCAAGCCAGAAGACTTCCTGGGAGGCACATGAATGGCTTGAAAATAGGTAGTCAACAGCTGCTAAGTATCAGAGAGGCAAACATTATCTAGAATCAGGGTTTCAGCTGATGCTGATGGTGCGTTTTAACTGCCCGAGACGGTGTGTAAAAGGGAATAAACTCAGATGA